TGTTTTGTATAAATTATGGCAAAACTTGGACTGCCATGAACTGCAACGTGACAGTGTCCTTACTGAGGCACCATCGGAGGTTAGCATAACCATTCTCTGTATGTCCACTTCAAGCTTGGAGTAAAACTGAGTTACTGCCTGCACGATATCCTGAGCAGCGCATGTTGTCAGCTGGACTATTCCACCAAACACAGTTTTATGATTGAAACTATTTTTCTCTCTGTATTTAATGTACAAGACGAGTATTTTGTGCACCGTTATGTCTGTGCTCTTATCTACTATAAGGGTGTGCCAAGGTGCATCTTTAACACTGCACATCGTCTCTTTCGGTACTACAGTATTGCATTGATTGAATCCACAAATTCAAAAGCATAGTTTTTACTTCGCCAACTGTCTGGTATACTCACATACTTTGCCATGGGGTCGTGAATTTGTTGGACCGACAGCATTGATGCATTCATTTTGATGGCTTGTACAACATTGTCGATGAGGATTTTTGACTTGCTCCGGGTTGGATTTGTTTACGATTGACAGCTCGTTACTCTTCTCTCGGTTTTTGGCGCTCTCTGCCAATAACGTACCGATCCCCTTTCCTATGTTGCATCGTTGTACAACTTTTAACTGCATTCAAATAACTTTTGTGCTGAATGTGACGCTTGAGGTAGTCGAGTTTCCATTCGCTCCACACTTTTTTCGCTCGCTACTTTAGCTTCGCAACACGTTTTGCAGAGAAGACCTTTCTACAGTGAACAACGTCATGACGTAAATGCGTGAGCGAATCGCGTCAAATAACAACCTGGAACAGCCAATCACATGTTGCATAATACAGAATAATGTATGCATTTATTTTTATTTCTATACTGGTTGGATTTTTACCTTGTGCACAGCTCAGATAGTTTGTGCGCAGACACGCAGGGGGCAGTGCGCATTTGCTCACAACCCATGCTTAGAGGGAACAGTGGATAGGACTGTCTTTCACATGTGTTGCTAACGGTTAGCTGAAGCTAATTGCGTCAGTGTTTCAGACCAAGCTGCAGTGCATGGTTAGCATCGCCGGTTGGTTAGCCACAGCTAGCCACGTTCGTAGCTTGTTTGCTGGAGTCGATCTAAGCGGGAGTTACGTCAGAAGCGTGAACAAGGACTTTGGACATACACGGAAGTTGGATTATACTTCCGCACTGTGGAGCGTTTGTGTTGGAATATAGCTGTCTTCTTTGGAACGTTGCGTTGTTTGCTGTTAACAATTTTTACCGTCTTCTGAACTGTGAGTACAGCTATCCCTTCGACGAGGATGCCACCTAGTGGACGTCGTGAGAACAGGCCTGCAACATTTTCTTTTGGGTTTAGGTTTCCTTTGCGAAAATGCCGTTTAGATTGTAAAATATAGGTTGTGCTTTGGTATAATTGCTGGAATAAATTTGAGTTGATTTTTCAGATGTTATTGTCTGCAAAACTGAGTCAATATTTTGACTGATTCAAACCAACTTGAATGTTCTCGCCCATTTTATAAGGTGACTTGATTATATTTATTTGCTGGAGCTCGTGGATGTCTCCAGGGTCCTGGGGGCATGCTGCCACTTACCCCGGAAAGGCGCTTTCTTCCCGAAAACGGATCTGGGGCTCTCACAGTGGTGCAGAGGTGCGGGGTTCGATTCCAGGGCCTGGTCTTCCAGTCTGGTGTTTGCATGTCCTCTCCGTGCCTGTGTGGGTTTTCTTCGGGTACTCTGCTTTCCTTCCACATTCCAAAAACACGCAAGGTTAATTGGACACTCTATGTTGTGCCTCTGGTGTGATTGTGAATGGTTGTTTGGCCTGCGATTGGCTGGCAACCAGTTCTGGGTGTAGTCCGCCTTCTGCCAGAGGTTAGCTAGGATCGGCTCCACCATGCATTTGTAAACCACCTTAAAACTTACCTAATTATCTCTTCACTGAATAGATGTTCTCTGGATACATGCCACTCCCTTTGAGACGTTTATTCTGCCTTTCTGGCATTTCCAATAATTGTGCCACACAATTATTGGAAAGGAGGTGTAGAGTGACCTATCAGTCAACTGGGGTGACACAAACAGTTGGCTGCTGGATGTCGACTGTTATATTAGCTCCCCTTCTCATAAAAAAAAAAAAAAAAATCTCAAAAGACACGATGGGAGAAAAGGGAAACCTCACGGAGAACCACTCTAAATGAGATCTTTATTCACAAATCCCCACAAGTGTTTCAATCAGAATTTTCATGGTTTTACGGAAGAAATAAAGTATATTTCCAGAGACAAAAAGAACAGTAAGGAACAACAAGAACTGTATTTCATCTTATCAACGCTACAATTAAAATTAAGTGTGAAGATAGGATTAAGTTCTTTCTATAAATCCCTTTGGAAAATAGATTTATGATTGTGATAAATGAAATGTAATCAAGATGACCTTTTCTGATTTTAAGGCATGATGACAAATCACGCACCAGAAATTATACTAACACCAATTTGATGTATTTCATTCAGCAATCAATCAAGAACATCATAAACACACTGAAAGTATAACCCCACTTAAACTAAAAAAATGATGTCCAGATATCACATCTAAAATATTTGGCTTCACAGAAATTACATTTAGTCACTTCTTCTGAACTGATTAATTAATGTTGATGTAAACAATAATGCTTCACTTGAACCAACCTTAATTTTTTTGCCTTGATCTTCATCATTCCTTTAACATTTTAGTTACTTTACCAAGGTCGAAGAAAACTAATTGAGTCACTTTCAACTGAATGAACATGTTCACTTTGACACCAGTTAACCCTTTCAGGGACAGCGTTGACTACAGTGGACAGCTTATCATGTTATCAGGTTACAGGGTGCAGGAAAGGGTTAATTTATGCTTAACCAAACTATATTTCTCATTTTATTTTGACTTCATAAATAATTCATTTTGCCCATCTTATAAACTGTGCAAAAAGACACTTGGCCAAATATTTTTTTTAATCTTAACACATGAGAGAGCATGTGGTTCATTGTTTAGCTCATTGGCCTCACAGTGTAGAGGTGCAGGGTGCGATTCCGACTCTGGCCTTTCTGTGTGGAGTTTGCATGCTCTCCCCGTGGCTGTGTGAATTTTCTACGGGTACTCCGGTTTCCTCCCACATTCCAAGAATATGAACCATAGGTTAACGCCGCACTCTAAATTGTCCCTAGATGTGACTGTGAGTATATATGGTCGTTCGTCTATGTGTGCCTTGCGATTGGCCGGTAACCCGTTCAGGGTATCCAACCTACTGCCCGAAGACAGCTGGCATTGGCCCCACCATGGCCCGCATTTTTGGAATGTGGCAGGAAACCGAAGTTCCCGGAGAAAAGCTATACAGACACGGGGAGAACATGCAAACTTCACATAGGGCAGAGTCAGAATCGCGGACGTGCTAACCCATAGGTGTCAAACTCCGGACCTGCGGGGCCGCTGTCCTGGATGTTTTCCAACTCTCCCTGTTGCAACACACCTTATTCAAATGAACAGGTTCAATATCAGGCTTCCGCAGAGCTTGCTGATGATCTGATCTACTATGATTTGTAGTTTGAACAAAGTTAATCATAATCGCACCTCTTGATGTAATGTGAACAGAAATATTTCATATCACACATTACACAATTTTACTGTGATTCTAAACATGGATTACGTTTTTCACACTTGCATTATTATTCTCTTCTACGGTCATTTTTTTTTTTTTTTTTTTACAGTGAACCTGAATCACCAACAGGACTTTTGGAAATGTAGGAAGAGACGGAATTAAACCTCACCCTTTAACCTCAGTTTCTTTCCACCCTGTAGTCACTTCCCCACCCAGACAGTCGTGTGGGTGTCATTTAATCTTCATCTTGTACCAGTCTGTTCCTGCATTCTTCCTGCCCACTTACACTGGTCTCCCTCCTTTCATTCAGTATGTGATCATTAACCGCCATCCTTGTTACCCGCCCACACCACTCGTCATGACTTACACATAGACCGCTGGTGAGACGGAGTCCACTCGCCAGCGTTTGAAGACTTCCTTTTATTGGCAGTTCACAGTAAAAAAGACGATACTTTAAGAGGCAAATGATTCCTGCTGCCCCAAGGTCACTTGCCATGGCACAGTTCTTTAAAAATTTCAAAAAAATCATGATGCCTCCTTAAAGCATCTAAACTGAGAACAAAATGGAGATGTACGCAGTGATTCGGCATTGTCTCACACAAATACAAAAAATAGAAGGAACACTGAAATCAATTCTTTCTTTCCTGCTGGACTAAAAAGGATTTGGTTAACCAGAAGGCCTGCTGTCCGCTTTAATCTCGTTGCTATAACAGATCGGCAAAATCATTTCATTAGCAAACAAATGGTCAAATATGCAGCCTTTCGTTTGGAATAATGGCTCTACCAATCCAATTGCTCAAAGATTCTAAAAGTTTTGGATCATCCTCTCTTACGATGCATGATAGAATTCATGGACTTTTCGTTGATGAAAAAGATCAGCAGTGTTCTGAGAAAAGAAAAAAGGGAGAGGCAGTCGGCGAGTCCAGGGGAGTTTATATTAAAACATTGCTACAAAGAAGAAAAAGGAAAACATTTTGTTGGAGAGTTTTACTTTCGGTGACTTGCGGAAGCTAAAATGAAGATAGTCATACATAGCAAGCAAGATAGATAGATAGATAGATAATTTGATGGATATCTTGCGGCTGTGAATTTAATGACTGAGTGCCAGCTGTTCATCTCAAACTTTCACTATTGTCTTCCAGCGTGTGGCTCTCATCCACTGAATTATGGACCACCCTTTCAAAATACAGATCTCTCTCTCTCTCTCTCTCTCTCTCTCTCTCTCTCTCTCTCTCTCTCTCTCTTATGTATATATATATGTATATCAAGCTGAAAGTAGTAGAAAATGTACCGTGGCCGACAGGGTTTTTAACCAGTCCAATTTGGTTTGCTCTTTTTTTAAGAGCATTTTTGCAATGAGGATGCCAGAGAGCAGCAGGCCGGTTCGCAGCTCCTCTTTTATTCCCTCATCCTCTCTTTGCCCTGACAGATTCGTGCTGATATCAGATTGATGGGTGGGTTTGATTGAAGTCTCTTTGTCGTGCTCATGTCACTGCTAGTGATGGATGAGGCGCGTGCGCAAATACACACGCGCGCACGTTAAGTCCTCCCCGTCCCTCAAGTCTCTGTTTGACTCTCACACGTACGCGCGCGTACAGTGGATCCCTCGCCTCATCCACCGGCCAACAAACTTGTGGGCCTTTTGGTCACCCTAGGCGACGTGACGACAAGTCACGTGACCCGGGCAGAGGTAAGAAAAGAAGTGACACGAAAAACAGAGGGGGGAGACGCAAAAGAGGAAAGCCGAGTATGAGAAGAAAGTCAATTAAGCTTACAGGATGAAACAAGACGGACTATAAACCTGTGTGACCACGAAGAGGTGACTTGGCGCTTTTACGCCCCGTAGCATTGTTTTTTTATTTTTTTTTAAATCATCACCGAACCTCAAAATTCCGCTCGCAGAATTGATTTGGTCACATCGTCGAGGCCTTCCTTTTGCATAACCATCTTGGTACACGTTCGCACGCCCGCGCGCGCACACACGCTCACACAAGCTGAGACCATTACTTATGTCTGATTCAATTTGGGGGGAGCAGTCTCCGCTTTTCTTTCCCGATTATTTTACAGCATAGTTTTTCTATGCAACTCACTTTCCTTGCAAGCAAGTCGTTTTTGAACAATATCTTTTTCCGTATTGTTTTATTTTCCCCAAATATTTGTCCCTAGAGTCTGCATGGACACATCGAATATGAACTCATTTTTGCAATATTCAGTTAGTAATCGATCCTATTGCAGACCTAAATCTGGATACCATCAGCATTTGCATCACCATCCCGCGGATCAGCATCACGGTTTCCAGCTGACCAACGACAACATCCACTCGGGTCACTCCGCTCCCCAAGCTCCCATCACCGTGTCGAGAGGTTCCAGACTAAATTACAATGTGGATGAACGCTTGCACGTGAGCGCTGACGGTGGAGGACCGAATGAGACGACAGGGCCGGCCCAGCATCACGAGCAACCACCTCATCACGAGCATCAGCAGAGGCAGAATGGCTACTATCATCCGCTTTACGACACCCAAAGTGGATTATTGTCTTCCTATCATAACGGAACTACTGTCAATAACGGAGCCTATTTGGAGCAGGCCTGCACCACAAACGCTGACTACGTGACAACGACGGGGCCTGCTAACAGCATCCATCCTCAATATTTCATGGACGAGCCAGCAACATCGACATACTATCATCAATCAACATTTTCTACTTCGGCCCCCACCGTTGGTCCAAACTATGGAACCCTGACTGCAGCCTATTGTGGGCCCCAGGGCTCCCTACTCGGTTCCCAATACCCGCCTCAGGTCGACGCAGCGGGTTACTTGGGACATCCAAACGGGGGAGGATATGGAGAGGTACCTGTCTCACTTGAGCGAGAGAGGGAGGACGAGGAGAATCAGCAAGTCGGACGGGGGCAAACATTCGACTGGATGAAGGTGAAGAGGAATCCACCTAAAACAGGTGAGTGCCAGCGTGCGCGTGATGGGAACAAATGAATTGTTGGTTGTAATATTTATGTTCATTTGTGAGCGCACCAGTTTGAGGGCACTAAAAACAATCAAAGTTCACCCACCGCAAACTAATACAGAAAAAGTTATATATTTTAAGGAAACACAGAACATAAAAATAAATGTGATCAGAAAAGTAATGCTTGAATAATGTCTCGCGATCAAAATGCCTCCGATCCATTTTTACTCACTTGAATTTAATATGAATGAATTTAAAAAATCCTTCTTCATCCAATGAATGTTTATTTAAGACTGGAATATTTACATTAGGTGACGAGTATTGTATAAAACATAAATGTATCCTCTATAGATGAACATCTCATTTTAAATTTCATATCAAATAAGACTGTGTGGTCATTATCGTTTCTTCACACGTAATGGTTACAGCAGACGCGTTCGTTGCAAACCCCGCCCCCACACACATAAACACACACGCACGAACGCACGCACGTTCACAACACACACACACACACACTACAAATAAACAGCAGTCAAAAGAAGTTGGGTTCATTTGAATGACGCGCGTTGTGTGTGTACAGTAACACGAAGCTTCCAAATCGCACATACTCATTAAAACTTTATCCAGCGGCGCACTTGTGTCCCATCTTATGCCGTCTTGTCAGTCCGTATCAAAGCGGTCAACAGTGCATAACGAATAGTTTGTTTTTCATCCAGTTAAAGTGTCTGACTTCGGCTTGGCTGGTGCAAACAACAACACCATGCGCACCAACTTCACCACGCGGCAGCTCACAGAATTGGAGAAAGAATTCCACTTCAGCAAGTATCTGACGAGGGCACGGCGAGTGGAAATCGCTGCCACACTCGAGCTTAATGAGACCCAGGTGAAAATTTGGTTCCAGAACAGGCGCATGAAGCAGAAAAAGCGCGAGAAGGAAGGCACGTCCACGCCGGTGCGCCCGTCCTCTTCGGGTTCGATCAACACTGGGATGGGATTCAACAAGGTACTGGAGGAAACGGACCGCTCCTCCGCATCCACGTCACCAGATGCGTCTCCTGACTCGGAGTAGAGTCGGAGTTGTTTGTTCAATGGGCCCGGATAAAAGTTCAATAAAGCCACATGGACATGACTTTCATTCGCGTGTGATCAATTCGCTTCGACATTTGTATCCAAATTATACAGTATGCAACCAAACTCCACATTATGTAACAGCTGATTTTAATTTAAATGGGCGGTAAACATCACTGCAATAAAAAAAATAAGATTTGAAAGACAACTACAAATTGACAACTATTTGATCAATTATATTTTTCGTTTATTTATTGTCTGTCAAATATCTTTAATTGCTATTCTGTTTCACAATAAAGAGGAATCCCAATGCACAATGTCAGGGGTCAAAAGAAATGTTACATTTTTGAAACGTTGGATACTCTGCTCTTCAATGTTTGAAAATAATAAGTCAGAGTTAGAGTTCGAAAAATAAAAAGTAGGGCTTTGCTTTGAGGAATAACTCCTGCCCATGCCAAGTATGAGTATTGCTTCATTTCAGTTAACATTGTTGACAACGATTTGTTTTGGGCATTTTTGGGCACTTACATTTATTTCAATTTACAGTACTGTGACCAAATCTTCCTTTGATGCATTTATATGTTGGACAACATATATGGTAAAAAAGAAAATGGATGAATCCTCTTTATTGTCATGACTTTTATACTTCGTACAGATGAATGAAATTTGTGCTCTACATTGTGAAAGAGTTTTTCTGTGTTTTGCTCAAGAGCTGCCTTTTGAGAATTGTAGCTTGAATCACAAAAAGACAATTCATTTGAAAAAAGTCATAGCGGACAGCTCAGAATGGAATTCCTGATTGACATTTGTATTTTTTAGGTACTACGTGAAAAACAGCACTGGTCATGCTGTCTGTTTTTAATATGCCTTTACACACATATGCACCATGGTAGAAAGAGAAAAAGATCAAATCAGAAACATTTCCTCATATTCTTTGAACTGCGACACACTGAATGATTTAAATGCATGATTTATTTAACTTGTCCTAGTTAGATTCAGGGATGTAACAATGTTTGCACTGATGACGGACAAACTGTTGAGAAAAAAGGCTGGAGAGGTCTGTCTTTCCCAGCTGAGTATGTGAAGTCATTTCACTGCCTGTCAGTTATCCCATGAGAGTCACGGTTTTTTATTTTTATTTTTTGCAACACATAGAGTGAGGCCTCACTCTAAACAATGATGCTGTCTGAATTAAAGCCACCACATACACATATATATATATATATATATATATATATATATATATATATATATATATATATATGTGTGTGTGTGTGTGTGTGTGTATATGTGTGTGTGTGTGTATTATTACATATATACGGAGATTTTAAATACCAGCAAGCTGACTGAGTTTTATCAGTTTTGCTGCCTTCATCTTTCCCATTTTTCATGTTTTATTATTTATAGGCTACCTCAAATAAATACCTTTGAAAACTAAGTTGGTGATGTTGTTTTTCTTTGTCCTAAAAATAATGTTTCGTTTTAATTAAATCGGTTACAACGTCCTGTAAGTTGTTATGCATTTTACAAGATAAGAAACCATGGGCCCGATTGACCAATATGATCGTTTATTTAAAAAAAAGTCGTTAATAAAGTTTCTCTCGAAAAAAGTAAACTTTTTTTAAGCGGGTTTCTCTCTCTCTCTCTCTCTCTCTCTCTCTCTCTCTCTCTCTCTCCATTTCTCTCTTTCTAAAACCGAAGTCACCTCAAAGCAATGTATCATCGCACATTGAAAAATAGCAAAATGACGGTCGGTTGGGCAGCGAGGCAAAAGTGTCGAGCGCACACATTCGTCGCTTCGAAATTCGTTATCTACTCTTGATAAGTCAAGAAATATTTGGAAATCCCATATACACATATCATTGAATCGTAGAGATTATACGCAGCAGAATGCTAAAGCAAGATCGAATTAAATGACATTCATGGCGTTTTGGAAACGGTTCGACTGCGCTTTGCTACTGAAAAATATTGATCGTCCCAGACGTAATACGCTGTGTGAGTAAAAGGCACAGTTATAAAGTCATGCTGGAAGGTAAACGTAATATCAATATGAAAACATGACTGGAACGAAAAAATTGTGCGTCCTCTTTTTGGGTGAACAGAACAAACAAAAAAATTGACAATAAATCTGAAAGTGTAACGCATTTCAGTAGCTGGTATGGCTCACACAGTAAAATGCTGTGGCCTCTTTTTGACCCCCTTCGTCACACAAGCACGCACACGCGCACACACGTAGACACACACTGAGCTCGAGTGAGGAATGTCGGCTAGCTTTCCGGGTGGTTCGCTAACCTGTCAACCTTAGGAGAGCCTCTGGGATATCTAAACATGTAAACACACTCTTGCTCACCACCTTCATCACCTTATCCTTTCTGTTCCTTTGAAATACCAGTTGTGGAGCCTGGGTGGCGATTTCAGTCATCACTTCATCACGCGCGCACACGCACACACACGTAAGTGCACACGCATATGTGAGAATTACACTGTTTAAATAGCCATTTTGCTGCTGTCCTTTAAAAAGTTCAGAGAAGCCTCTTTTTGCTTTTACGATATCTTTCTACTGTAAACATGTCCTAATGCTTGTATTTTGTTGTTGTAGTTGTTCCTTTATATCAGTAGCACTCCAACAGTGTGCTATTGCCATTGATGAAATGGCATCTTTTTATTAAAAACTCATACGCATCCATTCATCCATTGCATTTCTCAGGGATTTATTTTACTTTTACTTTCAAGTAGCTCTCTCTCTCTCTCTCTCTCTCTCTCTCTCTCTCTCTCTCTCTCTCTCTCTCTCTCTCTCTCTCTCTCTCTCTCTCTCTCTCTCTCTCTCTCTCTCTCTCTCTCTCTCTCTCTCTATATATATATATATATATATACGCACATAAAAAACTTTCATACAATGTTTTCAATACGGACAAAGAAACAAAATCACTCACTATTAGTTGCGCTCCAATGAGGCACGGCCATTTGACGAATTCTGAGAAGTTTTGTGACAACAACAATACAGTGCCATAAAGTGTCACGGCGTTTGTTATTCTACGGTGCATAAAGTTCTCGTCAAGCACATAGATGCACATGTCTGTGCAGTCTTGGATATAATAATGTGGCAGTGAAATTTCACTTTGTGTCGTTGCCGTTGTTCCATTGTATGAATCAATTATGGGTATCGGCAATCGTGGTTTGGCTCAAGCTGGTAGCATTCCGCTAACATCGCACTGATCTGCAAGTTTACATTACGCGTGAGCACTACTTTACTGGATTTGTTTGATAAATCTGGATCACAAAATCTTTTAAAGAATTTATTGAAGTGGTCTCTGTTGATCCCACCAAGCTCTTTTTCAGTCAGACAAACTTAAATCAATACAAATTCAACGGCATCTAATTTGATAGCACTAATGATGGGTATTTATTGTGTGACTCAACAGGACAAGTTGGTTCGCAATCAAGAAATTCATTTAAGATTTGGAAGTAAAAATGAATTAATGTTTTGATTAAATAATAAGCTTAATGTTCTTCAAAGTGGTAATTTCCCTCTGGTCAGCTGATCATGGGGGAAGGGTTTTTTCATTTTGGTCCGGGCCTTCGTCTTCATCTTTGTCTTTCCTCGCTGAGTGCCTCCGCCCATCCTCAGATCCAGCTGGCGCAGCTCACTTCATCGCTGTTTGAGGGCTGTCGCCTTCGCAAGGGGGAGAATTGGCCCCCAAATTGGCCCCTGTTGGTGATTAGGGCCACCTTGCTCTCCTGGGGGTGGGTGTGCTTGGCGGCAGATGGGGGTGGTGGTTCCCTGCCCAGACTCTACTTTGTGTGTTTTCAATTGGAACAGGACTTTGGTTGTGACTGATAATGCTTCTTGAGACCACAAGAACGTAAGAATGGACGAGAACTTCGACCGGCGGCTCATGTTTCAGCAATCAGCCACTGTTTGGGCCTCTTCTTCACACTCACTTTTATGAATGCTCTTCGACTCTCATGCAAGGTTCTCCAGCACTCTTCCTCTGATTAATCTTCAATTTTCAACTCTGCCTGCCTCTGCCCTCTTTGTTTTTGTCGTAATCACTTTAGCTTCTTTTCCCAGATTGAGTTCTGCCTTGGACCTTCCTGATTTTGAAACATTACATATCCAGGCCCTAGAACCCTTCCCAAGTCGACAGAAACTGTTGGTCTGCACCTTTGATTGAACTGTGTTGCTCCTCGCCAGCTTTTCCTCTGGAACTGTCGCATTAAAAGTCATTACCAACAAATACTGCGGCGTGGTGTACTGCATTTGAGTTCTATTCTTACCTATCCTGTTCTGTTCAGTCCTAACTGTCCTGTCCTATTTGTTAGTCGTTGCATTCCTTTCTCAAATTGTGTACCTTTACTTCACACATAAGAACACAACTCAGATTTAATTTGATTTTAGTCATCTAACTTGTTATTCAGCGATTGCTCTGTTGTGTTTTTGTAACCATTTCTTCCATTTGTGTTCTTGTCTTCCTGTTCTCTGTGTCTGATCCCGAACAAATCCTGTTCTGTCTGGCTGCCTTTCCAATTAATAGCACAATACAAACAACCACAGAGGGAGTCTTTCAAACCCCGCTATTGCACAGAAAGACATATTTCAGAATAAAAAGGCATACAGACTGAACATTCTGCATTACCATATAGAAAAAAAGGCACATTGAAGAGTAGCTCATTATCAGGGAGGTATCGGCATCATTTCAGAATTGGTGGGGACAAATGGTTCAGTAGCATATCAACTTTTCAACTGTTGAACACACGCAAAGACTGACAACAATTTAGTTCTGAATTGTTGAGATAAAGCGCTGAACTCTTTTTCAGCATTTCAGTGGTCCGAATATTTGGGGTGGGGCGAAAACCAAGTTCGAATACATACTTGCACTTGCTGGCCATTAGCGTACATATATACACTATATACAGCACACAACCTCTTGCAAAAGTTATGGAATCACCAGTCTCAGAGGATGCTCATTCAGTTGTTCAAATTTGTAGAAAAAAAAAAAAGCTGCTCACTGACATGACACAAAGCGAAATTCATTTCAAATGGCAACATTCTGGCTGTAGGAAACACTAAAAGAAATCAAGAAAAAAAATCAGTCAGTAACCATTAAACTTTTTCACCAGGCAGATTGAAAAGAAGATGGAATCACTCAATTCTGAGGTGGGGAAACATGGAATCACTC